CACACGGGAGTGTGTTGTGTTTAGCTGTTGACGCTCAATCAATTGTGTTGTCAAATGTGTGCAGGTCGTGATGCGTGGCATCGAACAGCGGGCGCGTGTGTGAGAATCGATGTTTTTGGTTGCGTGCTAAGTACGCGCTAGTGAGATGCTAATGGTAAGTTTTGGGATGATAAAGGGATCAAAGCTGTAACAGGCTGAAACATATAAAAATGTCAAGACCAATTACTCGATTGGGATGACGCATTGCAGCAATCATCGCATCCTTAGTGGCAGACTAATGCCCGTTTGCAGGCCAGGTGCCAAGTCACCTTGTGTCGCTGGCACTCCCAGCTGCCACTGGGAGTGCCAATTAAAATGTTTAAGATGAGAATCAGAATCGACATAGTTATTTATACTGGAGGAATCCGATGCGCTATAAAACTCTTTAAAAAAAAACTCGGTGTCATTCTTATTAATATTACGAAGCTAAAAAAAACAAAAAATGTAGCTAGAATTGTGGCCCTGAAACACACACACACACTTCATCAAGTGGCCAGGGAGGTGAATTGTTACAACACGTGATGCCAGGTTTTTGGCCATGAGTGTGCGTGTTTAACAGCATTGCTTGGTGAGCCAGATCTCTCTCGAAACAGAGATGTTTGATCTCAATAAGACTCTGACCTGGTCCGGCTCTGAAATGTGACTTCTTAAACCGGTGAGCCACTTATACTGCGCGGCCCAGTTAATTTATAGATTGCAGGTGTGTGTGTGCGTGTTCAACCATTAATGCGACATGTAGAACATTCCAAGAACACGTCAGACTTCGCGGTAAGCACTGGAAGCCAGACAGGGCACTATTAATTATTGACTGAGCCTCGCAGATTTAATGTAACTCAGCCAAATCGAGACGGCGTGGCGTTGAACCGGGGCCTCAATTTCTCACTGAATATTTTCCGCAGCGAGTGGCACACGACCTCGGAGTAGCCACATCCATAGCGAGAGGCATACTGGATGTGGTTCGTAATTTTAACCAAATCGCATGAGCAGCTCCGGCACAAGAGGAGCTTCAGAAAATCAAGGCAGTAGTAAGAAAACAAATCATGGATATTCGGCACGGATTCTTGTAACGCCTTCCGGCACGCGCGTGTTTGCGTCTCCAGGTTTCGTCAACGCTTTGGTCAATTCGGCCCGATTCCCCCAGGGCCCTGTCCGAATAGCAATACGACGTTAGACTGATGTTGCATTCACCGCGGATGATCATTACGACAGTTACCGCGCCTACCAGCACGACCGCCTCCCCCCTCCCCCCGTTACAGACGGACAGACAGAGCTAATGTCTTAACGCCTCCAACCTCAGTTGCGAAGCGGCGTTTCGAGAGAAAGATGAAAAAGACGGGCACGGAGAGATAAGGAAAACCCCTCCCTACGCGAAAATGAGATAAAAACAACAACACTCAACAAACCCAAACAACCTAATTGTCCCGCTCCCCCACCTTGCCCCCCACCCCGCGCCCCACGTCCCCCATCCTGCCCCCCGGGGCTGCTGCTCACTCGGAGCGCAGGTGAGAGCGATCGCCTCAACGCTCCAATTCATCATCACGCCTAATGGGGAGCCGGAGCCACCCACAAACACACAGCGCCGCGGGCGCCTTCAGAGGTCCCTGCTCCTAGAAGTGTCTATTGGAGGCCGGACAGGTGCCCCCCCCCCCACATCCCTCCCTTGTAAATCTGGCCTGGTGGCTAATGGGGGTGATAGAGACTCTGGGCCGCTGAGAGCCTGAGTTTGGATTCGGATATAAGCCGCCCTGTGTTTAAACCGGAGCGTAAAGTAAACTCAACTACTTTTATTTTTTATTTTATTTTACCAGGTGTCGCCCACTGAGCTATATAGCTCTTTTAAAAAAAAAGTTACCAGGTCACAAACGATGGCTCAGCAAAGTGGCTGATCACGTGGAAATGCATAGCAGCCAAATCCTCTGAACGCGTAATGTTGATTGTAAATGTGGAGGGAAAAACCGGAGGACCCGGAGAAAAATCCACTCGACCACGGGGATAACGCGCACACTCCAAGTATATAGCAGGCGTCACCACCGTGGCCAAAGTGACAGGAGTGGTGAGGATGATGGTCTCAGCTCGGTCACCAAATGATTGCGCGTAAAAAAACATTATATTAATTCTAGATTTGAAGCTTTCGTGACTGCAAGGATTCATATTCTTAGGTTTTTTTCGGTAAAGTCACGTTGGTAAAAAAATTTAAATCAATAAAAAGTAAAATAAAAATAAAATAAAATTAACGACGTTTCGGAGGCAACACAAGCTGAAGACAGAAACTTTACCGAAAAAACCTAAGAATAACATTATATTACATTCGGTGTTTGAGTTTCATTTGGCTGAACTGCTGCCATTGGAATTAAAAGTATGTTTTTTTGGCTGTCGTGTCTGTATTGAAAACGATAATTTAATAGGGTAATGCTTTCGGCAACGGCTCTGAAGAAGGGCCATTACATGAAACGTCAACCTTGTTATAGATTTTTTTTAAATAACGCTGTCATAATGAAAGATGTCGTGAGTCTTTATATATATTTACTAGCTGTACTACCCGGCTTCGCCCGGGACTTGTATCCACCACGGCCGGCCGCCTTTGTCTCCCCAGTGGCGATGTTAATACGCCACACCAGTTACTCGTTTGAGGCTGAGTCGACCTATGTGAGGTTCAAATAATCTTGATCGGTGGTGGCCATGAGCGGGAATCTAACTCGGTTCGCCGGGTTGGTAGCGCAGCGTAGCGTTAACCACTACACCCACCGCTCCTCACACACACAGACGCACACACACACAGACACACGCAGAAACACACAGACAGACACAGACAGACACAAAGACAGCACGCTAACCACTACACTACCGCTCCCCACACACCACACACGCAGACACACACACAGAACACACACACAGACAGACACACACACACAGACACACAGACAGCACGCTAACCACTACACTACCGCTCCCCACACACCACACACGCACACACACAGACACACACACAGACACACACACAGACACACACACACAGACACACACACACAGACACACACACACAGACACACAGACATGAACGATTTTATATATATAGATTGATGATTGTGCCTCAATACCAACGTGGTGCCTGGATACTAACCCTGAATATTACATTTAACATTCTTGCTGCTGCCAACATCATATTGTCCCGTTCATAAATATTGAAAAATCACGTTTAAGGATCGCATAAGCTTCGTCACTTCAAGTAATTACAAAGAGAAGACATGAGCACCGCTTTATTTTTTTCTGCGAGCAATAAAAAAAAGACGTTAGGAATTAAAGCCACCACTCCACCACTCCCACCAGACATTTGTGCGACACCAGGAATTCGACTGAGTGGGTGCGGGGTGGGGGAGCTGTGTGTGGGGGGGGGGGGGCTCCTTCCGGTTCTGGGGGCACTATCAGTGCCCAGCGGCACGCGATGAGTTACCCTCGTGCAAAAAATGCCCCTCCTGTTGTAGATTTTTTTTTTAAAGCAGCCATTATCCTTCCCAAATGTCAACTCCCCCACCAGCCACCAAAAACCTGGCCTCCCCACCCCTCCCCTCCCCACCAGCCCCCCACCGCCTACTGCCCACCTTTCCCGTCTCGTTCTTCGGCCACAACCAAGGCCCCCCCCCCTCCCCCGCGCCGCCGCCGGTCCCCACAACTCGCACACAAAACCTTTCAAATAGTAAATAACCATCACCAAACAATACGCGGCGGAGGGCTAAACAGTCGCATTAGTGGTCACAGCAGCGGGGGGGGGGGGGGCGAGCCAGCTGCGCGCGAAGACAAAGACGGCGTTGAAAGAGAATGCTGTGTGTGTGAGTGTGTGCCGCGGGTGATAACCACGCACACACACCACATCACACGTGCACGCGCGTGCACGTGCGTACACGTGCACGCCGGCGCACAGGTGACAGCGCCCTGAGGCGTCCGGAGTTAACATCGTTACACGCGGGGCAAGGCATACCAGCACGCGGAGACGTACAAAGACAAAGCTGCCCCCGACTATTGCGGCAAGTGCTGTTAGCAGAGCAACTATGATACTATGATGGCCGGCACGGCCCACGATGGGGGAGGGTGGCCAGCACCACGCACGGCCGCCTTTGTCCCCTTAGCGGCGATGTTTTACTCGCCAGGTACTCATTTTAGGCTGAGTCGACCCAGGGGAGGCCCATGACCGGTTCAGATCATTGTCACTGGTGATGGCCGTGAGCGGAACTTTGCATATGAACGGCCCATTATCATATAATTAATCCCCCCAATACAATGCAATTGTCCAATCGCAGGGCCGTACATCGAAACTCTTGCAGAGGCGCGCGACGCGATTGTGCTAGAGAACAGGCCTGCAGAAGCCGCTCCAGTGACCTTGTGCTACGAAGCGTAATTTCCCACCTCATGTCAGTCCCATGTTTTTTATTGTCTCTCACAGAAGAAATTGCACCAGAATTCAGCACGTAACTAAATCTAATTTGGGGTGTGTTCTGTGTGTGCGTGTGCGTGCAGTGTAGTGGTTAGCGTGCTGTTCTACGAACCCGGTGACCAGTGACGATTATCTGAACCGGTCCTGGGCCTCTCCCAGGTCGACTCAGCCTCAATTGTGTAGCTGGTGCGGTCTGTAAACATCGTCACTGGGGAGACAAAGGCGGCCGGGCGTGGTGCTGGCCACCCACCCACCCCCTCGCGTGCCGGTCCAGCCTTCATAGGAGCTCGCTAACATCACTCGCCCCATACTTTCTCTGAGGCTATGAGGTGGATCTTTACCTTTGTCTTTGCAGTGACAGCGCTGACCAGGCAGTGACCATCAACGCACGACACTCGAGAAACCCGGTACATCACGAGTAGCTGAAACCCGGATTCAAACCCAGGTTCACATCGGAGGTGGCTGAGTGTCTCTAACCCCCAGCCATCCCACTGACCAATGGATCAAAGCAAGTGGACAATCACCATCACCATCGTTGTTGTTGTTGTGTATTCAGAAGAACGGCAAAGCTCACTGAGATCAAGAGTCTCTTTTGCAAACGGATATATTTTTTTGCAGGCAATAAATCCATTTAAACACCCACGGCACTCTGAGATCAACGTCACTAGAGAGAGAGATAGAGAGAGCGATTAGTCAGTGGGGTGCCGCCCACTTCAGACTGAGTGGATCTAGAAGTGGGCCCCTCTGGGTACAGAAGCTGGGATCCAAGCTGAGCGCAGTTGTAGTGGAGGGCGCCGGGGATCAATCACTGCGTTACAGGTGACTCGCGAGGAGCGATATGGATCAAGTCGTTCATCACGCTTTGTGTAAATTCTCTCTGAAAACTAAACTATTACACGAGACAATTTTTTTTATTTTACCGAGTAAGGTCCCACTGAGCGATTCGTTTTTTTCAGAAGCGACCAGGCCACAAATTATAGCTCAACGAAGTGGCTTGTCGTGCGGAAATGTATAGCAGCCAAATACTCTAAAATAGTACCCGCAAATTAACCAATTGGGTCTATACATAGCACTAATCGTCCGCTACTCGCAGACTAATGCCTCATTTCACTCTTGTAAATGAGACTATCCTGGTCCATTGAGTTGGCACCTGGTTAAACAAAAAATAAACTTGAAACTTTATTCCTGAAGCCTCCCTGGTTCACTCTTCAACCTCCGCATAAACACACAAACGTGACTGACTCCCCAGTGAGCTGGTTTGATGTGGGGGGTATGGGGGGGGGGGAACTGGATGACCCGGAGAAAAACCCACGCGACCACGGGGAGATGATGCAAACTGGAAATATACAGGTGTCAGTGTCGGGATGAAACCCACGACCTCCGGTAAACCAGGCGAGATAATTCCTATTTGGTTTTTAATATTCACATAATTAGCACAAATACTTTATTTCTTGTAATTACACCTCCCCCCACCGCAATGCCATCGCGATCGCACTCTCGGATCGCTGTCAGCGCAAGCTCCATCGCGTGAGAAAACGCGCCCCCACGGAGGCGGATATTACAGAACTACCACCGAAAGGTCCTCGAGCGGTAATCATTGCTAAGTGCACCCTCCTTGCAACGCAATACACACACACATACACACACGTGCACACGCATGGGCGAGTGAGTAAACAAACAAATAAATGGCATGCGTGACTGGGCAGGCCGGCTCGGGGGTGATTGACGCTGCCGCTAATGACGCTGTAAGGAGTTCCCTTCTGGCTACTCAACGCTCCGGGGCCGTTTGTGTTTGTGTGGAGGAACTACTGATAGCCCCGACCTCGAGGCGAGGTGGGGGCGGGCGGGTGCGAACCTCTTTAATTAGCGAAGTCACAGGACGCACACAAAGCTTAAATGCGCTTTTAGATTTCGCTGCAGATTCACCGTTGGGATGTGTGCGTGCCGGGGTGCGTGTTGTTGTGCTGTTCACAGCTGCCTCCGTGGGTGCGCTGCCTGCTTTTCGTAGGTGCCTTGTGAGAGCACGTTGCCCAGCAGCAGCCTACAAGGGGGGGGGGGGGGCGGCATTTATATGTATCTTTAGTCTTGAGCGCAGTCCCCCTTTATAGAAGTGACGTGTTTTTGTCAATGGGTGTCGTCTCACCGTAATCATTGCCGAACGTCATCGATCCAATGCTGCGCAAAGGCCTCTCACCCCCCCCCCCCTCCATAGCAGTCGTCTTCTCTCGTGGTTGCTATTATCATGAATCCGCAGAGCTCTGAGACACTGGCACATTTAATCGCTCCGTCTCTGCGGTGAACGTGGCTCCCTGGGCATGCTGTGCCTCTCTTGGCTGCCACTCATTCGGAAGTCTGCCGTTACCCACCATTGCCTCGTGTCCAGCCATGGCGTGTCCTGCCCAGGCCCACCTACTTTTTGGGGAGATATGTTAACTGCCATCGCCTGGTATGCAGGAGGTCGTGGGATCGATCCCGACGCTGACGCCTGCTGTATATTTGAAGTTGGCGGTGTCTCTCTCTCCACGTGATCGCGTGGATTTTTCTCCGGGTTCTCCGGTTTTTTTCCCTCCACATTTAGAAAGATGCGTTTAGAGTACTTGGCTGCTGTACATTATCACGCGATAAGCCACTTCGTTGAGCTATCATTTGTGGCCAGGTCTCTTCTGAAAAAGAACTACATAGCTCAGTGGGCCTTACCTGGTCAAATAAAAATAGTTAATCGTTTTTCTTAACATTCAACATGATGTCTCTTAACATAATGAAAAAAGGTATTTATTTATTTTAATAGTGTACATGTTGTTTGTCTCATAACTGCGATTCTTAAATACATTACTGTTAGGTTGAATAATAATAATAATAATGTTAAAAATACTTCTCCAGCTGCCCGGGTGAAAAGTTGGCGAAGTTTTGACCAATTCTGGACAGCTGAATAAACTCAACGAACTTAACTCCCTTGGTTACGTTTCTGAATGTGTCGCTGTGTGAATTCTTTCCGTCATTTATTTAAAACCAAGGGAGAGTCCCGGTGAGATGAAACGTCGTTGTTATTGTTAAACGGCGACTTGTTATCGCAAAAGTAACTGCTTCGCGCGACGTAAGGACAAACAACGAACGTGCCGATTTGATTCTTAAATCGAACGAATCGCTCCTCTGGTCCGCGGCGCAATGCGTAAACAACATCCTCATCACTTGGGGCGGTTAAAGGCGGCTCTGTGCGTGGCGCTGCCCGCAGCACCTCCTCGTGTGCCGTGCCCGGCCTCCGTAAGTGCACGCTAACAGCACTTGCCCCCAGAGTTTACGAGGCTCTGCGGGCGGGGGGGGGCCTTTGTCAGTGCCAGTCTTATCTCATTCAATATAGATCTCGCTCTCTCGCTCTCCTCTCGGCAGTGTTGCCAATTGGAGGCTTTTGCTCGCCGGCTTTAGATTCATGACTCGATTTATCAAGCTGCAGGCTGTGCGCCGACGGTGTCCGCTCGTAACATCGGACCGGTCCAAAGAGCACGGTCTTGTTTAAGTTAACAAATGAGACGGGGAATGAGCGCTGTAGTGTAGCAGGTAGGCGAATTACACGTAGCTTCACACAGTCATCATCATTACGTTTACATTTTAAACACTACTCATGACAATACAGGCCGTTATTCGTCCGTTAAAAAATAACAATACATTTATCACTAACACTGTGGAATGAAACAATATATAATCGGCAACGTTTCGGGCAATGGCCCTTCTTCACAGCACACATGAGCTGGATATCTTTGTGTGTTAATCATGCTCGCGCACCCGCGGCCAAGCGCCGCGTCGCCAAATAAAGCGTTGTTTATTTACCCGGCGATGCCCAGACGAGTCCCAAGACACCGTCGCTGCCCTGGGACGGGCCCTGCCCTGAGATGTGTAGGTGCCTCGCCCTCGTGCCTCGCTACGAGTCGGCTTGGCGGACACGTGCGCACGGACTCGCATTCGTGCGCACACCTTTTCGTCGGCGCAAGGATATGCTCCTGCAAAAAGCAAAACGTCAATCGTAGCCTGATGTTCTTGGTTCTTTCGGTAAAGTCACGTAGAATGGAAATACTAAAATAATACAAATAAAACATAATAAAATAATTCTCACGACGTTTCGGCCACAACGCAAGCAGCCGTCCTCAGGTGAAGAACAGACTCTGTTTTCTCGACAAACATAATAAAATAATCATCACGACGTTTCGGCCACAACGCAAGCAGCCGTCCTCAGGTGAAGAACAGACTCTGTTTTCTCGACAGACCTGTTCTCCACCTGAGGACGGCTGCTTGCGTTGTGGCCGAAACGTCGTGATGCTTATTTTATTATGTTTTATTATTATTATTTTATCATTTCCATTCTACGTGACTTTACCGAAAGAACCAAGAATATGAATCCCTGCAGTCACTAAAGCTTTAAATCGAAACGTAGCCTGATGATGATGATGATGATGTTTACTTGGAAGGAAGAAAGATTGCGATGCAATGTGTGTGTCTCTGACGAGCAGACGCATCCAACCAAACCGCAGCGTGAGTTGCTTTGGAACCCCGCTCACCAAGGTCAGATCACGCGCCCGCATTTGTGTACGAATAACGTTGCCCCAGTAAACATGCCAACAACGTTAGCCCAACGTTTGGCATGTGGTTAGGACCGTTGGACCAACGCTGGTCCGTGTTTACTGGGCTGTTGGTTTTCGGGTTTTAGCAGAATGAAAATTAGTTGTATTACATAAATCAACAGCGATTGGGTGGTTATTTGTGTTTTTGCACGCAATCGTTCACAACAGTCCTCCTTTTTAAGGATATTCGTCGTCTAAAAGTTACCAACAGCGACAGATCGCCACCACCACGTAGCAGTGACAACGCTTCTGCTTAGGGGGTGGCGGGCGGGCGGGCAGGCAGCGGGGTCTGGGTGGCTGTTGAGTGGTAGGAGGTGTTTGTGAGTGGGTGGGAGGAGATGTGGAGGGGGGGGGGGGGCAGAGAGAGAGAGACGGAGGGAAGAAACAAAGCGACAGCTTAAGAAGGGTAAACGGAGAGGCGATTTGGAGGAATGAGCGACATCGGCGGCGAGGATGGAATTGTTGAAGGTCAAACCGCGGCGAGTATTGACTCGGTCCCCAGCACCGCGCGCTGCCCTCGTCGAGAGAGAGAGTGCCGCGGCTCCACGCCCGGAATGCATTATGCAGCACACACACACACACACAGGCACACACACACACAGGCACACACACAGGCACACACACACACACACAAACCCCTCCGCGCCGCGTAATCCCGTTAAAGTTTGCTCTATCATGTGCGCAGAGGAAGACCTCCCCTTAATCTGCCCATTGTAGCTAAACAAACAAAGGAATGATTAAATCAGGAGGGCAAATTGTCATTCAGGAAGCGCTAATAAGGCGGAGTTCCCTGCTCACTCCACTGCTTCTCTCTCATCGCAGGCCGGGCGGCCGGGGGGTGGGGAGCGGGCGGGGGGGGGGGGTGAGGCCTGCCACCTCTCTATTAAATTTCTTCCGACAATTATTACTTTGTTTTGCTCGTTGTGTATCATTATTTTGAGATGGTGGCGTGGTGGGGGGGGGGGGGGGGGTTGCAGCGGGTATGAGAGCCGCACGATGCACCGGTGGCAATCCGATTTTGATTCTCGGCCACGGTGATAAATTCAGTGTGGAGTGATTATCTGAACCGGTTCTGGGCCGCTCTCGTGTGCCTGATGCAGTGGGTAGACACCAGCACTTGGTGAGTCAACGAACATTGCTCGGCGGTGTTAACGATGCTACCCTCACCGCCACCATCTCGTGCTCCGTGTCCATTGCCAAACCCCCCCGTGGGCGAGTGATATTCGAACCGCTCCCTGGCAGCCGCAGGAAGGAAGGCACCCAGTGAGGACATTCACTGGCGGAGATGGAGCGAAGAAAATCAGCTCACGTGCAGGCGCTAGTTAGATTGCGGCAAGTCCGTGAGGGATGGTGATGACTTGGGGAGGCCCTCTCTGTAGGCAGTGGAGAGATTGTGGCTGATGATGATGGTGGTGGTGATGTATGTTAACGAAAGGTGTGAAAATGTCGGCGGTTGTGAATGGTGGTGCACACAATTAACCTTGTGATTTCGATTTGGGGTTGGTGGATGATGTCTGAGTGAGACCCGCACTTGCAGAATCATTTGGTGCCTGCACGAGATGGTACAGAAAGTAGGTCGTTGGCTTATCTGTGCATAGGTTTAACTAACTATTCACTTTGATTTAAAGCTTTCGTGACTGCAGGGATTCATCTTCTTGATTCTTTCGGTAAAGTCACGTAGAAGGGAAGTAATAAAATAATAAAAATACATTTTATTATGTTTTATTTTTATTATTTTATTACTTCCCTTCTACGTGACTTTACCGAAAGAACCAAGAAGATAACTATTCACTATTTTTATTTTAGCAGGTAAGGCCCACTAAGCTATATGGTTCTTTTTTAATAAGAAACCTGGCCACAAATGATAGCTCAACGAAGTGGCTTATCGTGTAGAAATTCATAGCAGCCAACCACTGGCTGCTATGAGGGAAAAACCGGAGGACCCGGAGAAAAATCTACACGACCACGGGGAGAACATGCAAACTCCAAATATACAAGCGTCAGGGTCGGGATTGATCCCACAGCCTCCTGTATACCAGGCGAGATCGTTAACATCTCGCCACCGTTTTAGTGTTAGCCTCTTGTATCTGTGGGGTTTCTAAAAAAAAAGCCCGGTATAGAATTCATATCCCAGTTTGCACTCGTGTCTATATCGTGACGAATCAAACCAGGTCACTGCGAACCCATCTGAGAGCAGAAACCTCTTAATACAATACAGGATAGTACGATGTGGGGTTCAAATATCATGCAAATGCGGCCATATATATGTACATCTCAAGACGCCGTAGATGAAAATTTCATAAATATTTTACAGCGGAAGTCAGTCAAAGGCAGAGTAAAATAGGATAGGTCTTAAGTTTGGACTTGAACAAGGACAAGGAGTCAAGAGCACGGGTGCCTGGGGGAGTTGTATACATTGGGGGGCGGCAGAGGAAAATGAGCTGGCCTCTCGCAAAGACGGTCACTGCATCGCGAGCTTTCAGATGCGCTTCTGCGGCCGTCTGGAACGCTCTTCCTTCCGATATCAGGAAGTCACTGAGAGCTATGCACTTTTAAATAATTCCGATTGCATACTCGTGTCTATAGAACTGATGTTTGTGTTTGGTGTCCTTCCCCCGCACCTCCGATTAGCACGGTTGGCTACGTACGGTGCGAAGGAAGTTCAACACAAATTACGTCGGACGCTGAAATAAAGTTGTGGGATGCATCCGGCCCACGCGGTGCCCACCCCCCACCTCATCGCCGTGCCGGGCCGACCAGCGGCCCCCCGTGACCGGAGCGGAGGGCGTGCGGGTCTGTGGGGGGGGGGGGGGGAGACACCCTGAGCGGTGACTGCAGCCGTAGCAGCAACGGCAGCAGTGGGTGAGAAGTCTGGCAGGGGCATTTTGGATTTCATGAAGTTTGGAGAGGAGGGATTTGTGATCGTGCACGAAGAAGCTGCGATCGTCAATTGCCGCACACAAATATATAGACTAATATCCCCGTATAGCCTCGTAGACTGTTGGGGGGCGAGGGGGGCAAGTACTGTGAGCGAACACATATGAAGGTCGTTTACCATAGAAGTCCAGTTCACCATGGAAGTCAAGTTCACCATGGAAGTCCAGTTCACCATGGAAGTCAAGTTCACCATGGAAGTTCAGTTCACCATGGAAGTTCAGTTCACCATGGAAGTCCAGTTCACCATGGAAGTCAAGTTCACCATGGAAGTTCAGTTCACCATGGAAGTTCAGTTCACCATGGAAGTTCAGTTCACCATGGAAGTTCAGTTCACCATGGAAGTCCAGTTCACCATGGAAGTCCAGTTCACCATGGAAGTTCAGTTCACCATGGAAGTCCAGTTCACCATGGAAGTCCAGTTCACCATGGAAGTTCAGTTCACCATGGAAGTCCAGTTCACCATGGAAGTCCAGTTCACCATGGAAGTCCAGTTCACCATGGAAGTCAAGTTCACCATGGAAGTCCAGTTCACCATGGAAGTCAAGTTCACCATGGAAGTCCAGTTCACCATGGAAGTCAAGTTCACCATGGAAGTTCAGTTCACCATGGAAGTCAAGTTCACCATGGAAGTTCAGTTCACCATGGAAGTCCAGTTCACCATGGAAGTCAAGTTCACCATGGAAGTTCAGTTCACCATGGAAGTCAAGTTCACCATGGAAGTTCAGTTCACCATGGAAGTCAAGTTCACCATGGAAGTCCAGTTCACCATGGAAGTTCAGTTCACCATGGAAGTTCAGTTCACCATGGAAGTCCAGTTCACCATGGAAGTCCAGTTCACCATGGAAGTTCAGTTCACCATGGAAGTCCAGTTCACCATGGAAGTTCAGTTCACCATGGGCAGGAGCCGGCAACCTGCTGCTCTTTAAGGGCTGCTTCCTGACGTGACTCACACGCATTGCGACTTATCTTGTTAGTTTGCAATAAAATGGTTATTCTTGTTTGTTGTTGTTGTTGTTGTCGACCCTGATCTCGATTGTCACGAGTGCGCGCAGTGCAGTGCGCTAACCACCACACTACCACTGCCCCCCCCCCCCCACACACGAGCACAAAGAAAAGTTACCCCGTGTAGCCTTAACAGACTGCTGGTGCAAGTGCTGTTAGCGAGTAGCACCTATGAAGGCCGGCACGGCACCACGAGGGGGTGGGTGACCAGCACTACGCCCGGCCACACACACATGCACACATGCACACACACACACATGCACACACGCGCGCAAAGGTTAGCAGTATTCATAATAAGGAAATCTAATAATACTCGAAAAGGCCAGAAATATTAACGGGGCCACCGCTGGCGATGAGCGGCCGTAGAAGGCATGGTACGTGGTCCGGCTCTCTCCGCTCCCCGGCGTTAACGACTGCAGCCGCAATCAGCGCGGCGGCGGCGGCGGTGGCTGAGCAGGAGGAGGTGGAGGAAGCGTGGGTGTCCACGCGCTTCATTAGGAGCCCAATACGTCCCTCATCGTTTAATTAACTTTTCCACAGCCACAACAGCTGTTCTTTGGCCGCATTCTCTCGAGCGCGCCCAGACAATGGCTGCTGATGGACGCCGGCGTTGACGTCCCACCACGTGCGCTATGAATAGCGCAGCCGAACACACAAAAGAGTACAGAGACATTTGGACTCCCATTGTTTTTAAATGCCCCCCTCGCCTCCGTAAGTGATTTGCTGGTGCTGCTGCTGTTGCTGCGTACGTGTGTGACTGTGTGTTTTTTTTCGCAACAAAAAAAAACTTTTCAAGGCCATGGCAATTTACTTAAATCCCGCTATTAATTTATTTCCCAGACCGCAGATAGGTGTGGCAGGATTTGTCATTGCGGAGAGATTTTAATTGAATTACTCCCGCTCATCGTGGCTTAACGGTTAGCGCACTGGACGGAATCTTTGGATTGAATCGAATCGCCGCGTTAGCGTGATGTTAACTCCCTCTACCGGTACGCAGGAGGTCGTGGGTTCCATCCAAACTCGGACACCTACATATTTGGAGTTTGCGTGTGGCGTCAGCCGGCAAATCGCAGGGCCGCACCTTCACATTTTTGACAATCTGTGCTCACACATCAGGGGGATGTTTTTTTGTTTCAATGGGAACCGTGGTGGCGGTTCACGATGAAATTCCGGTGTGTGTCTAGGACCTAATCGCGGTCAATGTGCGTCCTAGTCTTGACAGATCCCGAAGTCTAAGGCAATCTGAGGCTGGTTCGTGCTTGGAGAGGTGACCACCAAGGCTTGCCAGGTGTTGTGGGGCTGCAATACTGGTGATGGCAGTGTTTAGTGTGACCCCCCCCCCCCCCGTCAATAATACACGTGGTCATAAAAGTATACATTCATGGATTCGTATATGTTGCATGTAATTTGGTTGTTGTGACGCCTGCATCATCAAACACACGAGGCCGCTACATGCACCGCTATGACAGCGTCGTCGTCAATACATGCCACTGATGTAAGCCCCGGTCAGGAATACAACTTAGGGGTTTGTATCAAAGTGCGTTTACCACTACAACACTAAAACGAACCAATTTTTTTATTTTACCAGGTAAGGCCCACTGAGCTATGTAGCTCTTTTTTCAGAAGTGACCTGGCCACAACAGTCACACACACACACAATACACGCACGTACACACACACACACGTATATATTTATACAATTTTCTCCCGACAGCTCCAACAAAAGCGTCACTCAGCGCGGGCCCCCGGCTGGCAGCTGAGAGTGGCGGTGCAGCGATGTAAATTGTCTCCACCGCACGCCCCCCCCCCCCCCCATGCATCCGAGGGCCCCCTCACTAATGAGCCGCCGAATATTTAGGGGGCTTGGCCCACCAACAATAATAGGATGGAATTTTCCGTGGGCTTAATTATCGGCGCTACTGGAGCTGGCTATTTATTCATTTCAGCAGCCGTCACCATCATTGTGAACTTTATCCGCTGGTGTCAATTTTTCTAGGCGCGTGCAAATATTTTTTTCTTTGCTTTCGCAATGCGTTATGATAAAAATAATAATAAAAAATTAAACCAAAATCGTTATCCAAAACCACGTCTGACTCCCACCGAGTATTAAAACTTTCCACGACGCTCCGTCAACTCTTCTTGCTCGTCCGTACGCGTGTATTGTTCGTGGGCAATTTTGAGCTCAAGTGCACGAGGATGAATGGGGATCATTTTCGGGTGAATGTTGACGGAAACTGTCACCACCAACGTACTCGCGACCAGCGAAACCGTGGCGACTTGGTACGCGAATGCTACAGAGAGACGGAGTTGTGATTTGCAAATCGAAAACAGAATTCGTTTGAAATCGGTGTTTGATGAACGATCATTGATTGGTCCACACAGCACGTGACCTCGGGTTGTCACGTGACCTCTGCCTGTGACGTGTTTGGAAGTAGCCATACAGGTTGTCGCAGTTGAGATAACATTGTCCAGGTTTGGGCTATTGCTATTATTATTATTCGGCACCTTTTGGAAGTGCCCTAACATTGTACTAATATACATACTCAGGACTGCTGGATAATGGGTAACATTTGATTATGTACAAGTACTTTGATCATCGGCTAAGATCAATCCCGTGCCAGATGAAGTCATTCCCATGCCTTCACCATTACTCGTGGTCCCACGATACAAAGATCCAACTTGCTCCTGCACAAGTTCCGATTTCATGGCTCCATCTCCGCCGTGGATACACCCTCTCGGGAATGTTCCCTCCTTTGGTGAAAGTAAAACAAGCTATTAATAATCTAGCTCCTTCATTTCCACGATACTGGTGGCACAATTGAATCAGGATGTTTTTTTCAAAAGGGATGGGGGGGGGGTACAAAGGTTAGACCCAAGCTCACACACACGCACACATTGAAAACTAACGGTAATCTTTATTATTATTATAAAAGCCCTACCGAGTCTCAAGACCCTTTTCAAGATTGTCCTGCTAAGTCTTCACACGCATGGGGCCACATTACCACGTGCAATCTCAAATTTGAGTATGATTTGCAGGTCATCTTTACAGCGTTCGGATGTTCTTGGCCAATACCTGTGTGTACCTGTGTGTGTGTTTATGTACCTATGCAAAGAAAAAAGCCAAAACAACCCCCACGCAGAACAGAGGGGAGAACATACAAACACACACACACAGACGCCAGAGTCGGGAATCGAACCCAGGAACCCTTCTTGCTGCCAGACACAAGCATTACCAACTGCGCTTGCCACCTCCCCCCCCTTCACCCCTTTGCCGCGCGACAGAAACGATTCTCTAGAGCTCGGGTCGCTTGGGGCGCGGGGGTGGGTGGGTGTGCAGGACAATGGAAGAGGATCTATAAAGGGAACGATGTAAGTGAAACAACTGTTGTCGTGCGCGGGTTCGCGCGCGCGCAACGGGGCGCGCGCCCGCACGCTCGCTCGCTCGGCGGGCAGCTAATGGGTCGGTAATGCAACGCTGCGGGTCGCGGAACTGTTTATAATGCGCTCCTTAAACGAGCGATTAAAATACATTACTCAGCCCTTCACGGAAAATATCTGGCGCAACCTGCAAAAATGCTTTTAAGTAATTAAAGCCTTAATACGACTGCCTGACCGTAGAGAACGGGGCCGGTGGGGTGGTTGGGGGGTGGGGGAGAAAACGACACAAAAAAAGTTTAACAAAAAAAATTCTAAAGCAAAACAAGGCGTATCCATGTCGCCACGTGCTCCCGTGACTCCTCACCGCGCATGACGAGTTTCGACCAAGCTACGGTGCACGATGTGGCTATGAAAAGCCTGTCTGTGCGTGGGGTGTGCGTGCGTCCGTGCCCGTGTGTGTGTCTGTGCGTGTGTTTGCCGTGAGCGGTGGTGCAGCGGTTAGAGCGCTGCTCCACGAACCCGGTGACCCAAAGTTCGATTCTCGCTCATGGCCACTAACACCGGTGACGATTATCTGAATCGGTCCTGGGCCTCTTCGAGGTCGACTCAGTCTCAAATAAGTTCCTGGTGCGATGTGTAACCCTAACCCTTGGGAGATAAAGGCAGCCGGCCGTGGTGCTGGCCACCCACCTACCCGTGTACTGTGCCGGCCTTCATAGGAGCTCGTTAACAGCACTTGCCCCAAAGTTCTGTTGAGGCTGTACGGGGGACATTCGCCTTGTTCGTGGGTCTCCTCCCGCCAGCGCACAACATGGCACAGAGATGACCACAGGCATCAGAAATCAGAGGCAGCGTTGGACCAGTGCCACCAAAGTCCGATATCTTATCCATTTATCAAAATTACACGAAGATTATAAGTCTATTACCGTAATTACATTGAGCTGGGCTGTCTACTGAAATACAAAAGAAACTATACT